TAATAACCGCAAAGCATTACAAAATTTGTTACTTTACAGCGATACTAGAGACTTGTATATTGTCTATTAAATGCAAGTATAATTGGTAATAGTATCACTAGTATTATTAACACTAGTACCATTAATTAGTATTACCAGTTTACTGGCAACGCTATTTCCGTCACTAGTACTTAAGAGTAAAAATTTGGGCAGTTGTAGTAAAAACAGTGGTACTGGTGGCAGCGTGGGCAAACGTGAAAGAGATTGCAATCACTTTTTCTTGTAGAATCCGAAACGACGATCGTCCACGGCACGGCTTTGTCAGAGTTGTTGAAATTTTATATGACAGGAGCACTTTTGGGGTTACGCTTACTGTACATATTCTCAGATTCAATTTCACCTCTCTGCTTAAATTCAGGTCGTACTCGCAGAATTTCTTCGGCATCATTTTAGATGGTCAGGTATAAATGAAGTAGGTTAATCTGTTGTGAAGGGTGCCTTCTAGATGATGCAAGTGATGATGGAGCGATGGTAGAAGTCCAGGTTGAATATAAAATCACCTGCAGACACTGGTGTTGCTCGGTTGGTACAGCGTAGGACTCACAGCTGAGAGGTCCCGAGTTCGAGCTCGGTGAGGCCACCCAGCTTTCTTCCTTTCGAGGTTAATAAATTAGTACCACACTGTGGAAAAGAGACTGCGTGATATAGTTGCCATATATCTGTTAATTCTGCATTAAAAATAGGATATCCCTAGCTGATGACAAGTAGAAATAGAGATCATCGCCGCACAATAAGCTTCTTGAGCTGAAGGGCGCGTTAGAAGTGGACCTCAGTCAAGAAAGTGCATGAGAGACCGACTTATTAACATTTGCAAACTTTCCTTTTTTTCCTGTGGCAATCAGGTAAAGATTTTTAAAAGACATAGCTTGTAAATACGTTTGCAAATGTAAAATATTCGATTACAGTTTTCCGAGAAATACGTTCATTGTTCGTACGTTGGTCAGTTGGTTGACTTTCAGTAAAATAAAGGATCTGATGATGAACATCGTCGCAAGTGTCTCCCATAGGAACCGGACCAAGTTAGATGTCGACGATTGGGGACCCTCTTGCGACACAGTAACTGTGTAAAAAAATAAGCATTTATTCGTTCCAGGACAGTGTAACAAATGCCACATAAAAAAGGCGTGAAAGGGCGACAGCGCATCTTGCATCAGAGAGTGCAGAGTCAGAGGCTGGTGCAGTTCAAGGCGGTTCGAGATAATGGCAGCGATTAAACAATCAGGCGTAATAGATTTAGACGTCACCCAAAATGTCGATGGGTCTCGGAACTCGATCTGTGGTCAGTGGGTAACCGTTGAAGTACCAGAATACTAGAATTGTGTCACTGGAAAAGTGGTGTTTTACATTCTCTTTAATCATTGTGGGCTCCACCTCCACAAAGTTTTGACTAAAATTTCGGGGATAATGTTGAGCCGACAGATTTCTTCACGCCGTCGTTGTAGCTTCTGTGAAAGAAATAATGATATTTTATCCTCCAAATCGAAAGGAAGGATTGAAATGGTTATTTTTTTATTTACCAGCAAAAGCGAGCGCGATGAATTTTTTTCTGATCGATTCTATCATGTTGAGTAAATGATATGAACAAATGAATCATAAATCATTGGCGACTCTGTTTGGTCAGGGATTAAACATAAGTTGTGAATTAGTCGTCGTCGTCATGCCATTCAGCGATGCAATGCATGTACTTCTGATTATGAAGTTGATGGCTTGTGTTGATTTTGTAACTTTTTGAAATGCACGTGCGATTCGTTCGTTGTGTTTTCACAATGTCGAGTGCGGTACATCTTCCGAAGACGAGACCAGGCTGAAGAGCAAGATGGCGAACTGCAGCGGAAAGGTTCCCTGACAGAACTTTGTTTGCGTTTGCCGACTAAAATTTCCAATATCTGCCGAGTCATCTTCCTAAACTCGACGAACTAAAAACCCGCTTTTAGTCAGTGTCGCTTTTCAGCATGACTTGTGTCATTTTGGTGCAAGAAAGCTGGCTGAGCCAGAGTCACGATGACATCATTCTGAGTTTGCTAGACTTTGATATTCGTTAATGGAAACCGAAATCGCAAGCTGGTGGCATTATTAGTTGAATTAATTCGATATTATGTGCCAGCATTTGCGAACGATTCAGTTTCTATGACGAAAATCTGCGATGCAATGTTGTGAAATGTCTACCGATGTATTTACCAACGTATTTCAGCATTTCTGTTGGCAACATCTGAACCCATTACCTCAGACTGAAAACGACGTCTTTTTGGAAAAGCTGCAAGACAGCATAGTGACTTTGTGGTCCTTTTTTTCGTTGACTAACATATGTAAATATTCCTTTCCATTCTGTGTTAGTGTACATGAAGTATACTTGTCGTGTTCTTTAAAGGATATGATGGTAAATAATGAATTAATTAATTAAATTAATTACTGAATGTGCATTTACTGTCCTTCGATTTATGAATTTTCGATACAACCAAAAGCTAACCTCCTTCACTCGAGCATCAACTTCGCGAGGAACTTGTACTCACGCCCCTCAGCCTCCCAGCTGGGTATGCTTGCCGTGATCATTACCTTGAGCCGTTTTAAAACTGAACCTTGATGATGACTGCTTTATTCGATGCTCTTTAGCAGTTTTACTATAAAATAGCAATAGCTCTCCCTTATAAACAATTTTTTTCTAGAAGCATACCTGCCTCTACCGCTATCATTATTACATGTGCAGGCAGTTAGATTGTCATGGTTATATTTGTTTATATGTTTTGTGTACGGAAGTTCTGATGTTTACGTCGTAACTACACTAACATATATACAACAGAATCGTTTGATGTAACACTTGAGTCGTGCTTTACATAGCTTTAATGGTATTAACTATAATCAAAGAGTAAATAAGTCAACTTACGTAACCGAGTAAGCCGCTTCGTATCATATTTCTATTTTTGGGACTGTAACTATAAAGTCAGCAAGCACCTGGACCTCTTGTTTTTAAACCGATCACACAGATTTTATGAAGAAGTTAAACGAAATCACGTCACGTGAATATCATTGGACTCTTTTGATTTAACGCGTTGATTCCAGACGTTTAATGGATGTTATTCTTTCTCTTGTAATAATGGACAATGCTAAAAAGGAGCGCAAAAGCGGACCAAGCATTTTCAGCAGACTTACAGTGAGAGGTTCACTTTTGATATGCAAATGGTTCTAGTAAGCATGGAAATTTTTCTATTCAGGGATACGTTTACCATAAGAAGTTTTGAATTTCTATCGAATCACGGATCAGTATGGCACTAGCTGATCTGCATATGGATCATCTTGAAATATACATGTTGGATAAATGCTCGATTTTTTTGCAAACACTGGTGTACCTAAGGCCTGTCAGTGATGTTGTCGCCGTATTTAAAGTTAATGTCTTAAGGATGAACGTATGTTGGAAAATTTTATAAAATTTTTGATATATCTGGAAGGATCAGTTATGCCACAGACAAAGAAGATAAACGCTAAATCGGCTTTTTGGACTGAAAAAACCACATGACTTTACAATGTATCGAACGCTTCATAATATCTGCAGCAGGTATTTGCATCCAGAGTCTTGGGTATAAAAATTAGTTTTAAAAGGTAATTTTCAATAATATGGACCATGGATTTTTTTAGGGTTGCTTAACTGATTCTTTTTACCAAACAGAAATTGATAATGCACAAAATTTCTAACTTGAAAATGGCTGCAGTAAGGAAATTATTTCAAGGTATTTATTGAAACCGGTTTTCAATCTTTACAATAATTC